GAGGTGCTCCAGTGAGGACCAGCAAGGTCCATAAAGACATGGATGAGCGAGTTTGATGTGGAAGAACTTGACTGGCCTGCACAGAGTCTTGACCTCAACCTGATAGACCAGCTTTGGCATGAATTAGAGCGAAGACTGTGAGCCAGGTTCTCTCCAACAGTGTCTGACCTTGCACCTCTGAAGAAGGCTTCCAATGGTTCACATAAACACACTCCTACATCTTGTGGAGTTAAACCTGTTATACCTGCAAAGGGTGGGCTGATATCATATTAAACCCTATGGATTACAAATGACACTCATGTTTATATTCCTGTGAAGGCAGATGAGTGACTGTAGTACTATAGAAGTAGACATAAAATGTACAGTATCAGTGATGAACTGCATGAAAATCATAAAAAAAACATGAATGCAAAAACGCTACTTAAAAAGTGATTAAATGACTAAAAATTAAATCCAGCTCTCAGCATATTTACATCTCACTATTTCATGTCATGTTATTCTTTTTTTCTTTGCTGCAGTAACTTTATATCTAATGGACAGAGTGGCCACAGTGGTATTGATCGCTTAGAACTTTTTGGCAACAAAGCAAAAAAAGGTTGTTTTCCCAAGATGTCAAGCTGTTCTTATAATGAGAGATTTTGTGAGAAACTCTGCTGCTTCAAAATGCAGGATATAGCCAAAGGTTGTTTTGGTGACGCAATGTAGTGTTGAAAATCTTCTAAAGTGAAAACTGTCTACATCCAGTTCCATTACAAGCACGTAAAACAACAGTAACTGATGCTGATCTAATGGCTTTTCAAACTACAGAGCAGCAACTAAAGGGCTTTTTGTTTTAATTAAAGAAATCAGATAGAGAAATCTGTAAATCCATAATCAAACTCCTCTGAATTACCAAAACTGACCTTCATATTTGGCATAACTATGATTGTATGTATCACAGTACGTGGATAAAGCACAAAGATGAAAAGATGGACCACTGGTCCAACCTTTAGTATTAGCTTATGGCCGTTTGCTATTTGAAATAACAGAGAGATGCAATTAGGCTAAAAATGAGCTCATTGGCTGTGAGCCATCAATGACAAACAGCCTAAATGAAGAACATAACAAATCGGTGAAAACTAGAGGAAGTGGGCTTTCAAGTGATTAAAATGTGGATGAAAAAACAGAATTACTAAATGCATTTTATAAATACTAAACGTGTTTGATTATTGGATAAAAATTGAGTGCTGTCTCTCCAAGCAGCAAATCCACATGTGTGTGAGTGCGTGTGTGAGAAAGGAAGACACACCTGGAGACAACGCTCCAGGTCCTGCCCCCTCCCCCCAGCTGTCCATCACTGCCATCCAGGTGAGAAGGTAATTGAGGAGATTCTGTCGGAGCAGAGCAGTGGCCTCTGACAGCCTTTAGAGTGCACAGAAAATGTACCAGACAGCCAGAGGTGGTTTGACGGCATCTGTTCAACATACCTTCTGACATCATGAATGCCGGGCCTCCAGAAAAGACAACGCAAAGCAACACATAAAGCACAAAAAAGTTTTTCTTTTTTCGATTCAACTCGTTAAAACTACTTCTTAGTTGTGTTGCACAACCGGGGAAATGTTTTCATCCCTTTCTTACACATAAAAGCTCAGAGCCACAGTAACTTCCAAGACTGAAATCTCCTGCATTACTGAGCCAGTTGAGACGTACAGCAGGAAAATAAGAATGTGTGGCAGTCCTTATAAGGTGGGTCACACAACAGTGCTCCACACAGTTGGTAAGATGAATGACCTTAAGATTTATTTCCGAAGGAATAATCCTTTAACTATATATCCAGTCCAGAAAGCCTGTGTATTACACTCATATTTGGATGTTTGTTCTTTGCATGATTTATGTCCAGCGCAAATACTCAAAGCAAATGCTGGAAATAGTGTGCCCTTTATGTAGCACAGGAAGCAGTAGGGGGGGGGGTGTAGCATATGCAGTTTGATGCAGGAGAATGCAGCTTGCATCCTGTCTCAATGCAACAGTTAAAGAAAAAATTGTTTTAAATAAATAAATAAATCTTAACCCATTTTTTTAGTAGTCTTATCTTAACCAGGGCATAAAAATCTACAAGAATTTTCAAAATGTGCATTCCTTTGTAGACGAGTCAGTACTGAAACCTGCACTTCCTCAGCTGGCAATCGCCTTAAACAAAGAGCTATTTAAGGGAACTTTAAAGGAAGAATATTGAATATTTATGGAGATAATGAATTTCTTTAATATTCATGATTTTTTAAAAATGGTGGAGAGTGCAGTTGGTGAATATTTCCACATCATCACAGTGGTATTTTGGGACTAAATAGCAATACAGTCCTGTGGTATCAGTTTTATTGTGTTTTGGGTAAATTTCAAATGTGATTAAAACTAAAATATCAATATGCAAAAGTGCAAAAATGCAACTTCTGAGAAGCCACACCTGCTTGACCTCCAGGCGTGTTCGAGAAGCTGAGCTAAACCTGAAAGAGGTATGAACCAGTGGCAGAGGAGTTGAAGTGTTTGTGTTACTCAGACTCTTAAAAGCATAGGCCAGCATTCTGAAGAAATTATGAATTGTCTAGACTCTCTATACCTCGTGGCTTTCTTGAGAAAATTAGAATTAGAAATAGGTTTAACCCTTTTGTGGAAGTACATCCAAAGAGCCAAAGGTATAAATAAATAAAGAAGACAAAGCCTGAGGTTTCATTTCATATCTCCCCAAAAACCGCCCGCAATTAATTTGCAGCAGTAATGTGTCGGTGGGTTCAGACTGGAATTATTCATCAGGTGGTAAATATTTGTGCGCTGCATTAGTGATGTTTTTGTCCAGAAGAAGAAAACAACCACCTCCTGCCTACCTAATGTGGAGCTAAGGACGTTTCAGAAAATGCATTTTGCTGATAACCTTTCTTGTCTTAGTGAATGGACGAAAAAAAGAGAGAGAGACTCAACAGTGTCATCAGGTCACACTAAGACGGTTTCCCAGATTTAATCTCGACGTTACAACAACGGCCATAAAGAGGTCCCTTTACAGCGCTGATGTCCGCTCGTGTGCAGATGGCAAAGTGCTTGGTGTCAGAAGGATTGTGACACCATAGACCAGAAGCCAAAAAAGCATATTGCGGCAGCTGCTTGTGTGCTGTTCATCACCATTCTCCCTCTGGGACTTTGACAGTCATTTTCCTCTCCGTCTATTTTTATAGTTGGTTTGAGGGAGGTTTGCTTAACTAGATTAGAACTCTGTTTTAATCCTTTTAATACAGCGAATCCCATCTCAAATCAAAGTGCTAAAACCCTACACTGCACTGGCATTTCCGCCACCGTCGTTATTTCTTTTTAATTATTTTTAATTTTCGAAGAGAACAAGCTGTCAGCCATCGCGGCCCGCTTTATTTGGATAGGGGGGATGGATACACACAGGGATAATTTTAGTTAAGACAGCACAACAGCCAGGAATTAATCCCTCCATTAACTGGATTGTGTTACTACTTCTCCCCTGTGGCCCTGTTTCCTAAACAGAGGGTGGCCTGGTGATGCACGGATGCCTGATGCATGTTGTGTTTAATGGTCATTAGCAGCACAATGTGGATACATAAAGAACCTTATTCATTATCAGGGACCGAACTGCAGAATTATTCAAACTAATGTCGCATGAGCCATTATTGGGACAATTATGCATGTCGATGCTTTTGATTTGATTCGTAAGAGATCGAGGTCGTGTTAAGCAGTTGGTTGATTTGCTCTCCGGTGTTGTAATGCCACAGTGTGCAAATGCCTCTGGGGACTGTTTTTTAAATACATATATAAATAATGAATGTATTGTGCTGTCTCTAAAACTGAGCTAATTTCTTGGAATTAAACATAACCGGAGGTCGTAACCAGGTCTTGCTGCTGTATAAAGTTTATAGTGGTAGTATTCACGCTGATCTTTGATCTCTTTCTTTAAGAGAGCTTGACTTCCTCATTCAGAGAACTGTGGGGCTTCTCGTCTTGCCTCCCCAACAGCTGCGCCTCTTTCATAACCAATCCTTTCCTTCCTTCTCTGACAGCTCAGCAGATTTAAGAGAGATTGATAAGGACTTCAGTAATCAATACTGACTTATACACCTGACATGGAGTCAGCAGTTAACTCGGAGACAATGAGGAATTGATACAGCTTTGGCAGCACATCACACCCATCACATGAATGTCAATTTAATAGACAAAGTGTATTCTAAGAGAATACAATACCACTAAGCTTTGAGTGAAGTGGGAACATCGCTCGCTTACGTGGTGATGGTGAGCTGGTGTTTATGTTTGCCATGTTTTGGCCTCACCACGAGTGAGGGCGGAATTTGTCCATTTATTTAAGTGTTCGTTTTTGGGTCGATAATGGTGCTCTGGGAAACGTTTAGGAACCATCAAAGCCTGAAGGCGGGACTCGAATATCGGCGCTACGCTCAATATCAATCCATACAATCGTGGTCAAGACATTTCGGTTAAGCGTCAGTCTCGTGGAGGCATTAGCAGAAAGGTCAGGGCACTTCCCCCACACTCTCCAAGGAAGTAGGATATGATGATGATGTCTGAGGACAAATATACAACTTTAGTGGCAGACGCTGCGCTGTTACAAAGGATACATGACACCTGCTGAACATGAATGTCAGTAAAAATCATGGCGATCCATTTCAGATGTGCTGAGATCTTCAAGGCTAAAGCGATCACATACGTTAGGACTGCTTGTGTGGAGAATGTGTGGAAATATCACAACGACAGCACTAACCGTGCTGAGCCAAGACCAATTATCTCCAGTCACAGCGCAGAGTTGACCTGTGACCCCGAATCAATACACCTATTCTTGTAAGCTTGCGGCACTAATGGATATTTTCTCCTCCTTCATCTTGCACGTGAATCTCGAGCGGTTGTCAGGTCCTTCTGACTAATGACGGGCTGTAACACTCTGATTGATATTGTAGCTGCTGCTTATATGAAAGTAATAAAGACACAGGAAACTTGAGGTGTCAAGTTGGGGGATTTATTAGAGAAGGGTGGATATAAAGGTATCGTATGCAGGGGTTCTATTCTCTGAGCAAACCACAACTAGTCAAACCTCTCTGTCTATATTATACGCTACACGACTTCCAAACAAGGTCATCATAGTTAGTGACGTTACCATTCAAGAAAAGGGGTTTAAAAAGGCAATACAATAGACCATAAGTGTGCTTTGGTAAAAAAAAAACAACACCATATGGATTATTATTAATATTATTATTATTATAATCATCGGGAATGGGGGAACTACTCGGATGCTGACACTTCCAGGTATTTTAAACATAGGTTATTCCTAGCACTACAGGTTAACATTCAAATTGAAAAAAAAAACAAAGTCATCAAGGATCATACCACCACTGATATCCTTCGCTTAGAGCAACTCCTTTACTGAACCATGTAAGATTTCCATTGAGACTGTTTAAGTGTGTATACAAGCAGCCAGTCAGTAGCACATTAATGATACAGCTAGAATATCAACTGCCACGATTAATTATTTTTTTTAAATGCCTCACTTCCTCCTCTGATATGTTTCTTTCCCCTTTTTTTTGTTTTTTAACTTCCATATTTTCAAAATGTCGTTCTGTCTTTGTCACATTTTGGCTCTCACATATTAAGCTACAATAAGATCGATAAATACTGTTGGGTTGTGTGCTGGCTGTCTGTGAGCCATGAGGACCACAGTGTTAACAGGAGCCACAGTGTGGCAGTTTTAATATATACTGTAGTCCTCCTGAGGTGTCACCAAGCACACACAGGGCAAACAGAGCTGGGTTAACACAATGTAAAAAGGGAACTTTTTCATCAACTTCTCGCCGTCATGTTGAGTTGTTTTTCTTAAGCATGACTTCTTTTTTCGTTTTTCTCTTTCTTCTTAGAAGGAGTCCATGGCCTTGAATTCGCTGAGGGCCTGGACGGGGGAGATGTGTTTCTTCTGGGAGCCTCGTCGTACACGAGTCTGGCATTCCTCGGGCTTCTCCCTTTTTACCAGAGGCTTCTTCTCGGGGGCCTTCATGCGCCAAGACACAACGGGCGAGTTAACAGCCGCTGTTCCGTACACCTTCTGGTACTTGGTGGAAGCTACATAAGACGCCTTTACAGTCAGCACCACTGCATTCATTAGGTTCTTGGCCGCTTGGATCAGGGAGGTGGCGCTGTCCAGCTGAAGAGGGTATGATGAGTTGTAGGGGAAAGAGAAAAATATTACATCAAAAGTCGGTTTGTCTAAGAATGAAAAGGACACTAATTTTCTTGCCCTAAACAACATTGAAACATATCAGTTACAGTATTGTGCAAAAGTGTTGAGCCACCCTCATTTCTTTTTAATTTGCCAGGAAAAATGGGTGCAGTGAAACACAGTATCTACAGCAGAGTTTGTACAGTTCTGTTGAGCTAGAAAAAGTAACACTGGTATGATCACTTGTCTTTAAACACTGCCTGAACTCTCCTGGGCAGGCTTTTGGGTAATTTCTTTATGTCTTCTTCAGGAATAGTTCTCCAGGTTTCTTGAAGGACATTCAAAGCTCTTCTTGCTGTGGCTACCTTTTGTTCTGTTCTCTGTCACGATGATCACACACTTCTGCAATAATGTTGACATCCAGGCTCTGGGCATATTTTTTTTGGTACACAATTTATATTCTAATCTATTTATTTTTCTATTTTATTTTATATATATATATATATATATATATATCTGTAATTCACTTTTTTCTTGCTGAACTTTATGCTGCTGTATCTGAATTGAATTTCCCCAGTGTGGAATTAATAAGGTCTCTCTCTCTATTTCTATGATAATGTTGCATTGTGTGTTTTTCTACCCAGGTAGGATTTTAATGCATTAGCAGTGTGTTTGGGATCATTATGAAAAATGAAGCTGTTGCTAATCAGAAGCTTTCCAGATGGTTTTACACGGTGGATCAAAATGTGATGGTGTTGTGTTCATACGTCAATCAATTTCCATCCTGAACACTGCTGGCTGAAGTGCGGCTCCAATTTGAACCAAAAAATTCAAATGATTCAAATGATGATGAATGGATTCATCACTACAATATGACCTGTTACCACAAAATTTCAGTCTAGTTCTTACATAATTTGGCGTGTCTCAGACTTTTCTCCTGTTTCCATTTCTTCCTTCCTATTTCTTAAGGACATGACTTTTAGATACTGTTCATCTGCTGTAGATTTCAGGGTCTTTTAGAAACTGTCCACTTGTCCAGTTTCCTCAGATTTTTTAAGGCCACACTGCACACCATAATGAAATTTGCCAAGTTTTTGACTAACAGCTCTCTGAGAATTACATTGTTGTTGCAATACTTGTATCGTGTGCCTGTCAAACTCTGTTATTTTTGGCATTTTTCATGGATTCAACTAAAGAGAAGGGAACAAATGATGTGTTTTTGCAAGAAAGCGACTAAAGATAGCAAAGAATGAATTTTAAATTGTAAGTTGTCTGTTATGTTCAGACACAACACTGCTTCATCCCTTGAATTAAGTGCCTTTTTTATACTTGCACTTATACTTCAGTGTTAAGTGTTTCAACAAAAATGCTTCTTTTAAAATGATAAGGTACAAGGACTGGACTAGAAGTTAGTAAAAAACAGCGAATTATCACAGAAAAACTTTCAAAGCCTGGACAACTATTGCTTCAAACCAAAAATCACAATACCGTCTGGCTCCTTGGAATCAAAATATGAAGAAATGAAGGGTGACTCAAGACTTTTGCACAGCAGTGTAGATACAACACCTAGAAGGTCTGTGCCGCAACCAGCAATTAGAGAGGATAAAAACACGGCTCTCACTATATGACATCTTATTTTAGCAGTTCTTAATTAGCAGAGGCAGGGGTCAGGTGCACCTCTGTCTCCGTCTGTTTTGTTTGGCTGACATTTAAGGGTCGTGGCCAGTGGGCCTCCTCCTACATCACACTGAGACGAGTCAACAGTTTAGATTTAATGAGTGTGGACTCCAGCTGGCCACCATGAAAAGGTTAAAATCTCAGCAGGGCTTGCATATCTCATGTGAGACAAACATTAGAGTCCTGAGAAATTAAGAAGTGTATCAACGCAGGATGCTGGGAAATCCAAAGCAAAGATAAAAGTCAAGTTTGTTTTTAGTTGGCTCTATTGAAACAGATCTTTTATTTTTTTCCCCTGATAAAATCAAAATTCACAAAAACTGGTCAGTAAGGAGAACTGCAGGGCTCAACCTTAATAGTTTAAAATGTGTTTAAAGTCCACAAATGCTGCACTAATGATGATAGAAGAGACTCGTATACCAGCTATTTTATAAGTTATACAAATGATACTGTTTAGAAAGGTTCATAAAATTGTGCATTGTTGTAGTTTTTGTATTAACTTCTATATTTCTATACACTGAAAAACATGATGAATAAGAAGTTTAAGAACCTCAAGCAACTTGGAATAATTGTCTGATTTTGGTTGGAGCACTATTAGGAGTTCATGAGGCATGAACACTACAACTGGAAAAAAGCCCGTGGTGCATATTTCAGGTATTATTAGATGGTAATCGTTTTGAAATAATTGCATCAGCCATAATCTACATGACCCTTTATCTCATCTTCCAAGCTTCATTATGACCTTGAAAAAAAAGATTTGCCCATCCGCAGCACGGAGCATAAAAAAGGTCTTAAATGGATCAAGTCTAGTGAGTCTACGCTTAAAGCGTGTCTACAACATCAGTGATAGTGAAGCACTTACCCCAGACACGATGAGCTCTCCACCCAGATTCTGGACCTCAGCTTTCACCTTGCTGCAGATGTTGAGCTGATGACAGTACAGGGCAATCCTCTGAAGGTAAGCCAGCAGATCCTGCTTGCATGCTGAATCAGGGCACTGAATGGAAAAGAGGTGCAAAGACACATGCAGTCTATATATGATCATGGCAATTAGACTTTAAATTAACAGCAGCAAAACCCAACAGTTTTTACATTTTCATCTTTAGCCTCCTCACACTGACAGCTGTGCATCATAATTCAGAAATTCTGCAATACAAATAAAGGGATGTGCCCTGAAATGTACACTGTTTGGATGAAATAGTTTCCATATAAGCAGACTCACACAGAGAATTACATACATCTTCCTGCATCATCACAATGATGTGTAGTGACATGCAAATGTGATTATTGCATCTACAGTGGGGGAAATAATAATTTTATCCCCTGCTGATTTGTTCACTTATAAAGAAATGAACAATTTCTAATTTTATGGTTTATTCAATGAGAGGAAAATCAATTTATAACTTTTGTTTTTTTGTTTTTTTCTGGAATTTTGGTTGATATTTTTTCTCCATTAAAATCAAACTATCACCTGTTAATTTCTTTGTAATGAGCAAACTTACAAATTCAGCAGGGGATCAAACAACTATTTCTCCCACTGTATGAAGTGTAATTTGTATACATGGCTGAAAATGTTTTTACATTTTGATCCAGTCAAAGCCATGGAAAATGGTCTTAGGACTTGTTTCAGACATTATTGCCAAAATCTAAGTCTATGCCTATCGCAGAACTACCATCTGGATTTAAAGGTGGTACGTTTTCCCCCAAAATAATTCAGATCCAAGTTCTCCATCAAATTGGATTGTTATAATAGTCATGGTGTCTGAAGTTGAGCCGGTTTTAAAACATAACACCAAGAAAAACAATCCTAAACAAACCTAACAAAAAAATAGGAACAGCGGGGTTCCGGCATTTTTGGCTGCTAATTACACATCTTCGCGCGAAGCACGAAGGCTGTTGCTCAATATTTTTTTTCCCATTGTTAGTTGTTGCAGGCATGAGTTTCAAAGGCGAGTTGAGCTGCACTGCAGGTCGTCAAACACATTCATTTCACATGAAACAAGTTTGTCACAGCATGTTGCAGAAGAAGAAAGCCGATCAATCCACAATGAATGGACACAATATTTCAAAACCCAGAACGACTTGCTTCCACAGCAGCCTTTCTTCCCCTGTGGCCCACTTTTATATTATTTTTTTGAATCAGAAGTTCTGACCTGGTCCTGCTGGCCTTTGTGCTACTTCAACAGGAGAAAGACCAATCATACAGAGCAGCAAATGGACCAACAGGGAATAAGAGGACAGCCTCCTCAGGTATCCTACTATCACACAGTTTGCCCCTATTATTCCATCTGGAAGTCTTCCAGGAGTCAGCTATGGCCCACTAAGCTCCCAGTGGGTTAAGAACACTGCATCAGCTGCTTAAACACTGTGAGCATCATTTTGTAGCAGCACCTTTCTTCCAGCCATTAATATTAAACGGTCCTAACTAGGACATTCAGCACCACTGTGTGGGGAAATGCACAGCTCATTTCCTTGTCTTCTGGGCTCGGGTATATGGGGATGGCAAGTTAAACATCGAGCTGTGACATGAATATACCCCCTCCAGGACTTACAACTTTCCTGGCTTCCTGTTTCATCTCCTTCTACCTGAGACAAGGCCTCCTGGGCCAAGAAAAATTGCATCGACCGGCCCAAAGTGCCCTTCACTGATGCTCACAAATGGATAGCAAAAGTCTGTCTTTTGTCTTTGGTGAAATGTTTGGAGTTTTTTTCTTCTTTCCAAGCTACAAATATAATTGCAAAAAGCAATTCAAGACATAGTTACGGCTAGAGCAGGACTTTCAACAGCCCAATAAAGCACCATCTTCCTCTCACTGAGTGCAGACTGAGGGCGAGCTGCTAGCTCATAAAGCAGCCAGTGAGGGTGAAGCGTCTCTTTGGGCATTATCACTGCACCGCCAGTCCTGGCTAGAATAACTGCTAACTGCACTTCGCACTGCTGGCACTTCACACTATTGCCCGAGGCAACTTTGATGCAGACATGACACAATTGTTCCCTATTGTACAGTTGACTAATAGCCCAGTTCTTCCACAGATTCCCTGTTGATGTAAATAAATTGTATGGCCCATTACTTTGCCTGGCTCATTGAAGCCCTCTCTCTTTATAGCGAAATAGGATTCATTACTGTCTAGTCAGGAAACAACGTGCAGTGACAACTGGACTTTTTCGGCCTTCGCCAAACTCTCTCTGACCTTCTCTCTTCTTTCACTATTATATGAACATTTTATATTAGTGTCCAGAGGAACAAGCAAGAGAGTTCTTTTTTGTTTTTGCATAATTTGGCCCTAAATGAATAAAACATGCTCCAAATGGATAATTTAGCAAGATGATGTGAACTCTCTTGCTAAGATGAGGGCAACACCATCAGAGTGTGGCAGTCTGTCAAAACACAAGTCACACCTCACGCTGATGCTGCATTTATAAGCAGGCTTGGACTTTTTCTCCTAAATGATTCACTTTGTAAGAAGTAGTAATTAGTAATTAAAAACTGTTTCGCTCGCAGCCTGAGCCCTGTTGCGGTTTTGCCTTTATTGTAGCGTTTTGTTGTGCGTTAAATGGATAACAGTAGACGAAGACAAGGATGAAATCTGAAAAGGCTGACTTGAAGATGGTACGATGACAGATTCAAATGGAGCATGTTACACTCAGTTACACAATATGTCTTCTAGCTGACTGGACAGCTACAGTCTCTCTGATGGTAAGCTGTCACTTGTCAGTTACGTCAAGATAGCTGGTAATCTTTCTATTTGCTCATTCAGTCTTTGCATCTCCACCAAAGGCTGAGCACTGTTGTGCTCTCATACATACTAAAATCACTTATTATATTTTAGTGCATTCCTAATGCACCGCATCTTCTTCTTATGATTTATTCCATTATCTGGCATGTTGCACAAGAAAAGTCTTAAAAGATAAATTACAATTTCCCAACTTCGACAAAATAAATAATTCAAGTGACCTTGAGTACCATTCATGATTTTTTAAAACATGTGACTATTGATTTACATTTAAAATGTGCAATTTCTGCCCAGAATTAAAATTATTATTAACTGAATCTTCTACTCAGGTTGTGTCTTACCTATAAGAACTACAGACCCCCCCAAAACTTATAATGTCAGACACATCCTCTTCACTTCACACACTTGCAATGTGGTCACATAATATTTTAGGTAAAAAAAAAAAGGATTTTAACAAAGGATCAAACAAAGCACAAGGAAGATCTTCCACACAACTTTTCACTCGGCGACAGGGATGGTAGGTGGACAGGTTTTGATAAAGTGCTTTTCTACTCTACCTGAGCACTCTCCAAGTGAATCTCTCATTCACCAAAGCACTGCTTTCTGTGTTCAAGTGTTTTCTTTTTAACATTCACAGCCACACACAGGCCGATGAATGCATAGAGCAATTTGGGGTTCACCATCTTGCCCAAGGACACTTTAGCATGCAGACTGGAGCAGCCAGGATCGAACCACCAACCTTCCAGTTAGTAGATGGCCTGTGCTACCTCTTGAGCT